AGGCCTTCTTTACCAAAATCAATAATTGATTAGTACTGCAGTTCTTGGAATGCTGCCCGTCATCGTTTTCTATCCAGAACGTAGAAGGATTTTGCAGATGTGGCACATATTATACAACGAGTTGCGGTGGTCAGCCGATGTACAAGCCAGTGTTTTACCCTCATAGGCGACTCCTATACCAATTACCGAACCTCAGATGGCCTGGTTGGCCCGGACGGATGAGACCGTCTTCACCGCCTTCTGAAGAGGCGAAACAGTGGACTGTGCATCGGCTGACCACCGCAACTCGTTGAATAATATGTGCCACATCTGCAAAACCCTTCTACGTTCTAGATAGAAAACGAAGACGAGCAGCATTCCAATTCTGAATTTCCTAAAAGATCTATGATTCCTTCTTCGACTACGTCCTTCTAGATGAAATTAAGCAAGGGACTCGAGAATCCTGCACGCAATCTTCCTTTATGCACCTAGCTCCAGCACCGCAACCCTCGGGTTCTATTTCAACCTTCACACATGATATACACATAATTCTTGTTCGAAAACATGCTTTTTCCTCTGGACGCCGGGCTTTGCTACTGTTGCTATCATCATGCTCCTTCAACAGTTCATCTTCTACTCGCTAATGTGCATCAAAATTTCACCTAGGCGAGAAGGGCCCTTCCACGCAAAGGTTCGTGCACCGCTTTTCAAGGCAAGGTTTGGTAGAAAATTAAGATCGAGTAGAAGGTGAACGATTGCAACTGCAATACTTAACAGCACTCAACTTAAGACCGAAATTGAGAGCTTATAACAAAACTGAAACATAAAATAAATTAATAGTACACATAACATGAAGTATGTCGCCACCACCTACCACGACAGGAATAACCGGGTGTACAAGGAACAAAATGTAACAGGGTATGAAATAAAATTCAAATCAGTCGAACAACCACTCACTAGTTGGAAAACAGGAATAATTCCGGTCTTCTTAAATCACACCAGGATCATGATGCAAAATTGCTCACGATAACTTGTGAAAGTCTAAAAAGAAAAACCTGCTTAGCTGAAGCCTCAACAGCTTCATAGTAACGAGTGCAGCAATACAAAAATTGGTAGTGAGTTGCAGCAGAAGAGTAAAACCAGAGCAACACTTGACGAATTCAGCAGCAGAAATCAGGAGAAAAAGCGCTCAGATGAACAATGCAGTGAACAGCGAGGTACTGGTTTACATGACCATCGGCGCCCCAGTGCAATTCTGGGGGTAGATTCATCCCCCGCCCTGGGTAGGTAGGCCTCCTATCCCAGGAGTCTGAGCTCTCGCTAAGACAAGGCCCCAGAGGCGAAAAACACATGATTATCGAGGTCTGTCGATTCTTCACTTGTTTATAGGAAAAATTTTTGCTTCATTGCAACTATCTTAACACGGAACAAAGGCAAAAACATCATTTGAACGATCGCGCCCTTCGCACACATTTCCTCGGGACACGCACACATTTTCTCCCCTTTCCTACCCTGGGCGTAATGCATAAGGCCCTATAACATGGGTGCGCTTCGTTGCGCGCGTCCGTAGAAACTGGGAGGCGGTTGTTTGGCGCGATCGTTCCCATGGCGCCGCCAACTCGACGCGGTTTGCGGACTGGACAACTCGTCCAGGTGATTGAGCAACACACTCCCACCCAGCTGATAGAAGCCCGATCGATGACGCCGCTACTATTAGACGTCGAATCGTGGACCTGCTTGTATTGGCTGCTTTCATAGTCCGCCGGCCGCTGGCGTGCCAGCCGAGGAGGGAAGCAAACGGTCGTCGAAGGGCTGAAAAGAAGGAAGAACAAGATCAAAAACCAAACAACCAGGGGCTTGTACAAGTGGTTTTTGATATTGTCTCTCTTTGTTTACAGCCCTTCGAAGGGGCTTGGGCGCGACGCCACCACGTCGACTGGCGGTCTGCCTCCCTCCTCTCCCCTAGCTCTGCCTCGGCTGGCACGCCGGCCGGCGGACTATGAAAGTAGCCATTTTGCCTATCAGCATGGCGTCATCGATAGGGCTTCTATCAACTGTATCCGCAGTGGATTGCTCGACCATCTGGACGAGTTGTCCAAGTCGCAAACCGCGTAGAATACGGTGCGATGGGAGGGATCGCGCCAAACGATATACACCCGTAGAAACCAGGTCACGCCGATGCAGTCGCATGCGGCGGGTCAGCCCGCGATGCTTGACGGAAGTCACAGTTGTCAGTGAGGCATACGATTTGCGCTTGGTCCACGGCAGTCAGAAACGAGAAGATAACGCAAACAAATGCAAATCATTCGCTCCACTCACATTTGGAGGCACTGCTGAGACCTCAATGGGGTGTGCGAAGTGGGCAGGGTGACCTACATTCGACGAACGCGCGCAACTTACGCCCGCCCTGTAATATAGCATATACTTCCTACATACGTCGGTCATCAGAAGTGTTAGTGAAGGAAAGGGAACTTTCCTAAAAAAATAAAATTGTCACGAAGCTTTCAATTGACCTGGGGCCGCTGTCACACTACACAGCCTCATTCCTTAACTAGGAGGTCTGGTGGCCTGGACGAGTTCCCTAACGCAAAATTTCCGTTTTGGGTGGGAGTGGAGATCAACGCTCGTGTCTTAAATACCAGTTTTGAGAAATGGTCGTGCCAAACGACAGATGCAACTACAGCTACTTTACGCATACTGCACGTCAAAAATTTCTTCCTTTAACAGCTGCGATCACTGCACTATCGAGTCTTCTAAAGGCGAAAAATAGGCTGTGTTTGCTAGACAACACTGTAGGTGTCTCATAGGATCATCACAACCACTTCCGGCCATGCATTTCAGAAAAATTATCACATTTTCACCGGATTTTTCCTTCATCACTAAACAAAAAAAAGTTGTATTTAGGAGACGAGCGAGGAGGAAAAAGCGATCAGAAAAGTCCATTAAGAGAGCATATGTTCCTAGAGTGGTTCGTTGAAAACGATGTTTTGGGCGCAAGTGCTTCATTGATGTTCAATACTTGTGGGATGCATTTGACCTAGCATTTGCTCCACGATTTTATGATAGGCCCTCGTCAGAATAAGCAAAAGGCACAGTCGATATTCGGTGATAAATATGAGCTCCTCCATCTGACAATGAGGCTAATTAGCAAGGGAAGGGATATGACAGGCGGGGTTGCTGTCGGGGTATCGAAGGTACGCTACTGAAGTATAGCACCCCTCTCCCCTTCAACAAACCCGAGGCAAACCATTCTTTTCGTTCGAGGCTCTGTAACGAAATCTGGTTGACAGGTGGATGTCCTGATTTTGTCTCGAGGTCCTCCAAAATCCAGACAGTCATCGCCACGGTTTGACAGTCGTCACAAAATGGCTTAGTGTCTTCGCATACAATTTCTTGGATTCTCTGGCGTAAGCGTCAACGACTGACCTCCGCTTGCTGAATAAGCTCAGACCTTCCACATATCTCTGCACTTTTGTGGAGAACCTCGATCACGTAGTTCCTGCGTTCAATAGTACCGATCGCATGGTCACCATACCTATATAGGAATTAAGATCCTAAGGCGTAGGTCGAGGTAGAAAAAAATGCAATGTCAAGAAGTTGAGGTAGGAGCAAGGAAGAACATGTTCTCTCTGTGTTGCTGCTCCTCCAATGTGTTTATTGCTTTATCATTACTCGTTAGTACTAGCAGCGGATGTCATTAAGCAGTAACTCATTCCGCTCCAAATCAATCCATCATACACTGAACCGCACTCGATGTTTGCAAGGCGGATCGGAACTGGTGCGAATGCCTGCAGCTGAACGAATTTCTATGCCATTCCTTCGCATTCCAACTAACATATGTATAACTTTGGAGTTACCTTTTCACGCTGCGACACAATCCTACTAAATTTCTACTGAGTGGGTACTTCATAATACAATTGAGGTCGCGGTAGAAGCAAGCCAGAGTTTCGTTCAATACTCTTCGACGTCACAACACACCGAACCGTAGCGATAGCATATCTGTCTCGCCTCAGGTGGTAGATGGGAGACACACATGGCTGCTGAAAATATCGCTGAGTAGAGTCTTTGTTTCCTGTTGCCCCTTCAGGATTCAATGAGTGGTGCGACTGGACCTCGAAGGATCTTCTTTGTAATTAGCGGAGCTTCACCTGCTGATCGCTCCTGCTACTGCGGCGGGAACTGCTACTCTTCTCTTTTTCAAATCTTCCCTTATCACTTCTCTGTAAGCTCGCACAGGGCAGCACAGTGATCTGTTTGACAACGTTATTGAGGCTTCGTTTAAAGAAAATGACAACTCTCTCCGCGCAATCAAAAAAAGCAGAATTCAGGGCGGAAGATGCGATGGTCCAATCTGTGGAACTTCGAAACAACAGCGACACCAGTCAGGCGAAACCGTCATCAAATATAGCGCGGCCTAGTTCATAACTGAACTGTCGATCAGACCCACAATTCAAAGGAAAGCTTTCTGAACTGTGAATTACCTTATGTAGGCGGTGTCAGTCGACACGATGAACTCGGAATCTTTCCGCCTATTCATTTCCTTCCGTCGAACATACTTGATTATGAGGTCCTCAGCCGTTCTTCCATTCTTTTTCTGATTATTACCAAGAGGATTGGGCATAACGTGAAAATTAGTTGGAAGGAAGCAATTCAATCTCTCTCTCCTGGAGATCCATCGAAACTCTGTCAAGCCCCGTTAATCACACTATAACTCGACCTACCAGCCTAGCCTGAGTGTTTGATATTGTGAAACTTTTCTAGCTTCAATTTAGTACAGATATAGTGGTTGCAAAAGCAAGCCGTCGAATCACTGTTCAACTGAGGTGGTGTTATTTCGGTAGGGAACGCTACCGAGCACGCCTCGAAACGCACCCATCAACCCTATCTAGCACAGCCATGTGCCCCTATGTCATGAAAGGTTGCAATCAAAAACAACATTTCCTTATAAACATTTGATAATATTGTTCTGTCAGTAAAATAGTAGTTTGCATGGTGAAAATTGTGGGAAACAGCGATTTCAGGATGCAACCAAATTACCTGTCGGTTCAGTAATTACAGCGGTATGTAACAATCATTATTAAATCGCGGTTATGGAAATAAATTTTCCAAAAGCGATTTTCATTTCAGGAAAGGTCTGTAATGTACAAATTTAAAGGAAACGTACAACCACAAGGAGTAGTGATTGGCTCTGGTCAGGAAACGATAAACGACTCGGTGAGCATCAACAAATGCTGTTGGCTCCTTCAAACGATCAATAGGCATGAATCGGCGTCCTGGAACTATCTGTGTTAAACTTACAGTATTGAGTAGCGAAAGCACCGAATTATAGCTTCGGAACTCTAAGGCGCAGTCACGACAATTCTGAGAGTTAGGATTCAAAGGCACAGTTCACGATAAAAAGTTTCAGAGTTCTCTACCTAGAACACCCAGTGACCTCCAAGGGTAACAGGAAGGACGCTGTCGTGTCCCAAAAACTTAACAGCTAGGGCATAGTGGGATCTCCGTTTGTACGGATCGCCCGAATGCCTTACCCCTCGACCGACGTCAGACGAGTGCGATACAGATTGCAATATCCACTTTGGGACCCGCACACAATTAGCTGATCGCTGAGCGATGAGGAGATGTTTTTCACCTGTCCTTTCATTCCCTATTTTTTTTCCTGCTGCTATGAACCTTTATTTAATTTTCGCAATGACACACAAAGTGTAGCTCATTCAAACACCTGTTCTTCTTCGTTTTCTGGTTCCATTCTCGTCCGTTTCGTGCGTTTTCTCCGCTTTCATCGCACTATTTTCCACCTCATCGTCCATCTTTTATCATAATCTGGGTAGGTAATCCTAAATTATCGTGAACTGTGCCTTTAAGAGAAATAGGAGAACTTATGGTGTAGAAAAGTGCAAAGGTAGCGGTAAGAATTGCTTGACTTGGTCCTCATGGCTCATGAGTAGTTGTGTGAATTTTCAACGTACATATATATTTCATCGTGAATGGCGCAGCCCTCAAAAGTATTCGAATCGCAGCGATCCTTGAACATGGCATCCACTAGGCAATTTTTGGGCCCTTACCATGCCCTATGCCGTTTTATGGTCTGACAGCGCCACATGTGGCGTACATGGGGCTACAAGTTTACCCTAAATCTCTCAGTAGATTGGGTTTGGTTCATTTAAGTGTTCTGCTTTTGATACAGCAACGTACATATATGAATATATAGGTGACAGTGCAAGCTCCAAATAAAGAAGCTGTCAAACGCGAGAGCAAGATAGTGGTAAGTGTATCCTATTATTGGAATGTGAAGACCACGGGTGTTTGTATCCGTTTATTTACAGCGTCATGTGATGGTTGATGGAGTTCGAAAAAAAGTAGTTCCAAGCACAACAAAAAGCGAAATCAAAGAAGGCAAAGGAAGTACAAAAAGTTCACCTGGAGCTAAACCGCTCAGTCAAGGCAAGAGTTTGGTGAAGACAGGAGATGTGTCACCGCACATTCCCACTGCAGCACCTTCACGTAACGTCGGACAAGAGGTGGGTGTATAGGAGTACAGTGAATTGTGGTATAGCACTTTCTGTGCTCTCCCATTCTTTCTCTTCCAGTTAATAGCATTCGGTTATGATCTGATCTCAGATGGCTTAGCTTTTCCGATGGTCTCGACGCTAATGCTTTTGCATTGTGGCTACTACATCAAAAAAACTCTGAAATGTTCGGTAGATTAGTGGTGATACCGCTTTGCCAAACTTCTCTCTACACTACGATGAATAATAGGCAATGGCAAGCGGAGTCTAGGTAATGTAAGAGATAAAGAGCTTCGTGCATGGTTAGGTTGACGCCTCATTACTGCGGATTTTTTCAGCAAGTTTTGCTTGAAAAAACGATTAAAATATTCAGCAAAGAAATGTTTAAATAATTACTCCGGAACATTTCCATCACCTACTTCAAGCAGTGCTCCCATTTGCTAGGCCGTCGTACTCTATAGGCGAAGAAGTTTTTATTCTGAAGGAGGCGAACCACGCCTCGACATCGACCACCTAGTCACCCATTTCGTCGTAATCCCGTTCGTTAGCCAATTTTCCAACGGACGATTAATGCGATAATCCATAGAAGTTTCTGTTGGTGAATAGAGCGGATTAGAAAAGGATTCCATTCCTTACATAGCTTCGACTGACTGTTCCATCGCCGAGAAGTTTGTCGAGATCACTTTATGACTTCGCCACCTTCCAACCTTCCTTTGACAGCAGAGCATACTATGGCAAATATGAAGATGACTTTCAAGACACACTTTTATTAAGAAAATCTAGAAGACTATTTCTATGAAAATCCCGAGTTTGAAGTTATATCGAGAGAAAAGAAGCCGCAAAAAATCCGCAATATTCATGCATCAACTTATTACAAGTGAGGATTCGAGTCTCGTCCGATGCCAAGTTTCGCCAACCTTGTGAGACTCTCGGATCGCAAATCGCAAACTGTGGCGTAATAATAACCTTCTAACGAAATATCAAGTCAAGGCTACATATGTAATGGTAGAGTCCTAGTAGAGTATGTAGTTGAAACCCTAGAAGGAGGATCAGTGCTCACTTAAGATCTGTACTTGTTGAAGGGTCTTTCGAATCTTCAGGTTTTGAGTTGGTCGACCGAAACAAGTTCCGCATTGAAAAAATAGAAAGTCCTGTTCAAACTCATGGTGTTGAGGCATACTGTCTTCTTTCGTCACGTTCGTGAAATTCTCAACACAGTGCACGAAATTGTGTTTCATCTTTCAGGGATTTGACTTGCCCACACAGCTTTTACTCAAGTTTCACCATCCCCGTTCTTGAAAGTTTTCAAGAACTCTTAGATTGCAGACGTCGGATAGGCATCCCCATCCTAAGAAAAGGCCAATACTCTTTTTCTGAATAACAAAATTCCACCTACTTTTTCTTCAGTCTGTACATACCCTGCATTTTTTGAGGTTTTTCTTGGAGGGCCGAGACGTTTTTGTAATCATCCGCGGAGAATTTTTTATGATTTCGAGGGGCTAGTCACACTGTAAGAGTCCGTGTTTTCCAATGGCAAGTGGACACTTGGGCGTCTTTGGAATGGAATAATTTGAGTTGATACGCCCTCGAATAGAATGAAAACAAGTAACCACATTCACGGAAGTGATCAGCGCGAAAGGCACAGTCAGTACAAATTTTCATTAGTAGTTCTGTATTGATATCGGAAATTAGGTTTGATTGTTTCGGCGATGATATGAAGGATGGCCCCATCACCCTGGTCTCCTCAGGTCTGTACAATGTCTCACACACTGATATTACTTCAACGACGTAACGATGACCCAACCTATTTTTCGTAGAGTCATCTTCACAGCCGCAATTGCGGCCTTACCATACTTCACAATGCAGGCCGGATAGCCTGATGTTATGAACTACGGCTTGTAGTATGATTGTTTTGCTGCTGTGGTCGTGAAAATACATCTTTCTCACATGGTCATCAGTTGTTCCTATCTCTTCGTGATTCTTCTTTCTTCTCAATTCTTCACAGCTCCACGAGTCTACATGTGTATATACCGATTTGTGTGCTTCCGTGTGAGCGAACAATCTCTCAGGACTTCCTATACGTGTTGGTTGCACTTCTTATGTGGATGTCTTACACTCACCAAGATCTGTGCTACCCTATGTTCATGAATAGCTTCACCTTTTATTTTTTTTGTTCTATGCGTTACACCAGACCTTTCTAACCTCCACCGTTAGATCCTTCAGAAAGCCCTAGCTGCAGGTATAAATTCTATAGGTTTTCCACCTTTATTGGAGATGATTATTTACATGCCATATAAAATAGACGGGAGCGGGTGGTATTTGTGCACCAAATACCGTCAAATGAATAAGATAGTCTTCATAGATCTTCAAAAAAACGAACCGTCCTCCATGATGTTGGCAGAAACCAATGCTGACTTGGAGCGTTTCTAAGAATATTTTGTACATTGCTTGTTTCTTGTTTTACCGGCGGCAGCTCCGAATAGGAATGAAACTAGCTTCTAACTTGATATGTTCGACTTACGTTCGACCTCGTGGGAAAAGTTTCCCTTGATTCAAGAACTCTTGTTTGTTGGCTGCGAAGTAGGCGATCTTGGCCACTGTTGACTGGAACATGTGGTTGCACCCCTCGTGAGGTTAAGAGGGTATGATCCTACCGTTTGTTCCCGGGCGCCTTTTCCGCGCAGTCTGAAATTCATCCGATTCAACATTGCTACAAGAAGGACAAATCGTCCAGTTTTTCCCCCAACTATTGACAAAAACATTTCGAGCATGCTTTTAATGAAGTCAGGCTAATGCCGCCTTTCCATGCTTCATTTCTTCTTGTTCAGATGCAGCCGCGTGACCCGCTCCGTTCACTGTTCGGAAGCCCGGCAACAAAAAAGGATTAATTTTTCTGAATTTTTTTATGTGTTGAAGTCGGTTCGAATGCGTTCAATGTACATCTTACTCAACGTGTATTCTTCCTGCTCTTTTTTAATGTGGCAGTTATAAAACAGACATGAGGATATGACTGTTGAATATTGCAAAACTACAACTCGCTCGCCCTGCCTCTTTTTACTAGCCATAAGATTGGTTACGCTTTCTATTTGTGGTGTGAGAGCTAGAAAAAGAACTCATCTAATGTGTTTTTTGGTGTGCTTGTTCTCCTTAGGTGTTAAAAATTACCGAATCGGGTTCGCCCTCTAAGAAGGTCCGCTCCAATGCGAAAGAAATGCTAAGATCAAAAATTCATATTTTTCTAAAGCCTGAAATGTTCCGAGAGGCGAAAAGGTAGCCGTGAGTCATAGAAGAATATGGTACAACCTGTGAATTGGGCGAAACGAGTAAGGAAATGGGCTGAGCTAAGATCAAAAAATTTATATTTTTCTGAAGCCTCAAATGTTCTGGGATGCGAATAGGTAGCCGTTGGTCACAAATGAAGTTTGGACGAATCTCTGTTTGGGCGGGACGGAAATGAAGTGGGCGGGGCTAAGATCAAAAATTCATATTTTTCTAAAGCCGGAAATGTTCTGGGATGCG